CATCACTCCTGGTTTATCACGATAAATAACACGCTCAGCTGCTGAGACAAAGGAGTGACTCTGCGTCTACACCACCGAGGATTTGACAGTGGTTTGAAAAAGACTTGTACAAACTTACCGGCTTATTTCAGCAGATTTATGGAGGAAGCCTGAAAAGACTGGGAATCACACCATTAACTATAGGGGCTGGTGAGGGAGCACACTGTACAGCAGTGGTTCCCAAAGTGGGGGGTGGGCCCCCTTAGGGGGACGCAAAGCAGTTGCAGCAGGGTAAACACATTTGAATTCACTGTAATGAATCATTAGTTATGTTGGTGATCAATCTACAGAGACCTTGTTAACACGTTCTCATGACCAGGTTATTGCCTTAAGGCAGTGGTTCCCAAAATATTTCTGCAGCTCCTCCGCCTTCTGTTTTAGATAGAAGTATCATTGAGCCACTAGGTGTCCTCACAGTATTGATTTGAAACTTAATTTCTTCAAAACCGTTACTTTCATTCACTGAGCAAAATGTCACCCCCCACTTTGAGAACCAGTTAATTAATGAAAAGTACTAAAATAAATGATTCATTATTTTTCATTCATCACTAAGTCAATACATCAGGACTCGTCAGGTCTGCAGTTATTGACGATCACTCGTGTCCTGTGTTTTCTGTGTTTTCAGGGTTACCACAGGCCGAACCACTACATCGCCACTCAAGGTAAGGACAAAACTTTTGAAACTCTTATGAGATTTTTCCTATTACAATATTAGACAAATGTTTCTTAAGAGTTGTGTGTGTGTGTGTGTGTGTTTGTGTTTGTTGGGCCGTGGATTTATGCAGGTGTCCACAATTACCTGCTTCTGCAACTTCTTCACAGCTGTTAACATACGCTCCTGCAAACCACTCTCTGATGCTCAGTCAACTGTGTGTTCTGGGACTCTGTCACTGCTCAATAGACACACACTCACATAAGACGTACACACACACACACACAGCGTTGGCAGAGTTGCTGTGTGCAGGCGCAGCAGCAGCACACACTCTCCCTCTCTCTCTCCCTCTCTCCCTCTCTCTCCTCTTCTTTCCATTCTCTGGTGTGTGAGTGATTAATCAGACAGTCTGGGAGAAAGCTGAATAAATAAATGGATTAACTGACACGTACAGGCACATTTTGCCACTGTGTTAATCTGGCAGGCAGATTCGCAGGGCCAGGAGTACTTACTGTGACCCCAGAGGTTAAGTCTGATTGATGGATAATTGTTATGAGTTTAGCATCGAGGGCTATACCACAAGAGGGCTGCATTGTAAATTTGCATACCACTCTAGGCAGAAAAATATTGAAGAGGGAAAAAGAAAGAAAGAAACGGAGGTTTTAATGGATTCACAATACGCCGGGGTGGAGCTGGGAGTTGCATAATTACCTGTTTATTAGTGCGTCTCCTCTTTTACTCAGTGTCTCAGTTTGGAGCGTGCTGACCAGTGCGGTCGGGGTCTAAACTGAGCTGTCAGTCAAACTGTCTCCTCCAGAGGACGTCAAACTACTGAAAAGGAATCTTAACTGCACCTTTGTCGCCCCCTGTAATTATCCCACCGTTTTACAGCCTTTCTATATTTCTGTTTAAAAATAGGCTTATGTAAATCATTTGCATAAAAAAATAGAGACCTGCATTGAAAAGAAAAGCTCAAGAAACCAAACTTGTTTCCATTCAAGTTAATTAGGCCCGGCTTTCCCATTCAGTTTGTATAATTAGTCCTCATTTCCATCGGCTGTACCGCAAATATGATCAGGCTTTTAAGTGTGCAGAGCCATCCATCGGGAGAGAGAGAGTTTTTGTGTGTGTGTGTGTCTTTGCGTGCATATATACATGTGTGTCTGCAGTGTGTGCGCGCACGTACAAACATCTGTATTCTTAGGGAGAGCAGGTCCTTTTATAATTCATCATCAGCTCAGAGTGGCAGGATGGGAGCCGCTGTCTGCTGACACTGAGGCGAAGACCTTCCTGAGATGATAGGAGAGTCAGACACAGACCTGTCTCTCTCACTCAGACAAAATGTGTACTGTAGCTCCCTGAGAAGAGCACATGGGCATTGGCACAGGAAATAAGGCCTCCCCTCTTTCACCTCCCCCCCTCCCCGTCCCCCTCCCCTCCCTCACCAGTAAAGTTTTTCCAGTGAGTGACACTTCCACTCGGGTCCACCGGGACAAGCTCAGAAAGTGATGAGACCCACATTAATGCTGGATAAGCTAAAAAATCTTTGTCATAAATTGGTTGTGAGGTGGTTTGAGGTTGTGCTTAATATGGCAGACATGTGGGATAACACCGTCCCCGTTCTCCCTCACTATAAAGTACAATGACACTCATTAGTTTGAGGTTTATTGACGAGTCTCTTTGCGCTGTCAAGGTGAGGATGGCAGGTGGAACAGCTGTCACTCCATAAACGCCTCATCACCCGAGCTCTACGCGTCAAATATGTAGGTCATTCTCTCATCCGTACTTTTCTGCTGATGCTTTACAACAAGCAGCTCTCAGTGTGTCACCAACTCCGGCTGCAGCTCGTCTACTGAGGAAAACTAAATGTAACCACCAGGCACCGCTCTCTCCTTTGGTTGCTTCACCTTTGCCCGTTCTTTCGTGCACTGATCAGCTTTAACATATTCTCTGCTGGTGCAAACAGCTCTGATTGGTCGTTGCATCCTCCTGGTGACGTGGGAAAAAAAAATTCATGATGCAGGAAAGAAGTTCACTTTCATCAAGCCTTTTCCCTCCAGTCGTCTCCGCTCCTGCCTTCCCCACTTCACAAGCAGCAAATGTCACTGCAGCGTCTGAGTTTTATTATTTACAGGTTAACAACAAACCACAGGGGGGGCTGGGGGGGGGGGCAGAAAGACAGAGAGAGCAAATCAATTGTAATTGAGTGTACATTATTCCAAAGTCTGCTGCATGTAATATTAATGTGCAGAAGGGGGAGCGCAGCTTCTGTGTGTGTGTGTGTGTGTGTGTGTGTGTGTGCAGTCTTCGTCAAGAGTTTTGTGCCGTACCTGGTTGAGGGATTTCTACAGCTGTCACAATCCGTGCTGCTAAAGGAGGAACAGGCCTGGTCCCAAAACACAGCACTGGCTGCAGCAGCAGCAGCAGCAGCAGCAGCATCAGCAGCAGCAGCAGCAGCAGCAGCAGCGGTAGCTCCCTGACAGCTGCTGCACTTCCTCTGAGAAGTCCTCTAAACTTCCACAGCCAGGCTCCAGACACACTGAAGTAGAACTGATTCTTTTCCTCTGTAGTTCCTGGAGTGAGTTCTCAAACCCGTGCTCCTCCGTGATCTGTGGCTTGAAGCTCGAGTCTGTGGTTTTGTTTGTCTGTTTTTAGATGTTGTGTTGCAGTGGTGAAGTGGACTTCACTGTCACTCACTAACCTGAACTGTGTGGTTCAGGCAACTAGGATATCTTTTTATTTTAAGTGGGGATTAGTTTAAGTTAGCGACAGAAAAATCAGCTCGGTGATTCAGGCTGTTATTAATTCTGAGGCCTCTCCTGTCAGACTAATCTAAACCCGTGTTGTTTGTAAAATTAGAAAATTAATAATTTGGGGAAATAGAAAAAGTCAGATCTCTGGCTATCAGCCATTAGTGCTAAAAAAAAAAAAGTAATTTGTTCGACTAGGACAAGTACTGTCCAGGGAGAGTGGACAGATTTTTTATAGTTTTCTATTTTGGGAAAAGGTTAAATAAAATATTCCAAACATTCCGGCTTTAGCTCATAATATCTGTCTACTTCACCTGTCGTCTCCATTTTACCGAATCAACCATTTATATAAGTGGAAACAGTACAGGTCTGGTTGGAGCTTGGCAGGACCGTAGGATTACCATGTAATACCAAGTGTTGTTGTGTTAGCCTAGTCCTACACACCAGCTGTCCTGCTTTTAGTCTTCCTCTCCCAAACTTCTCAGCAGCGTGGATTCTTCTGCAGGGACGAGTGTGGGAGGTAGCTGAGTGGGTGGTGCAGTCAGGTTGGGTACATGCCGGAGCAATCGGTGCTGGAGTAGTTAAAATAGTTAAAAACGAAACAGAAAATTCGAGTGACAACCACATGCAAGGCACAGCAAGTAAGGGAATACAAATGGAAGAAATGGAGGAGTTTTGTTCCAAATTACGAGACAACCAGTTGGTTTAGCAGAAGTTCATTTGCAAAAATGTTCCTGCCATCCAAGGAAAGGTGCGTGAACAGACTGGCAGCGGTAGAAATATCATCACAGTTCAGATCACTTCTTTTTTCTTTTTTCTTTTTTTCCTGCCAAACATTTTCTAAAATGTAGTAGCGGTGTTTATGAAAATAGAAGTGGTTTTGAACTGTACTGGAGCTGAGTGATGTCGGAGGCCGCAGGTTGACGAGTGTTTGTGCGCTACAGAAAGCAGCTCACATATGGCTTGATCAATCAAGTGAATAAAATGTTGATGACACTTTTCTTGCTGCCCTGAGGGAAATTAGACAGTTCCAGAAGACATAAGCTAATAAGGAGCATAAACAGTACATTAATCGCTGCTGCTGCTGCTGCTGCTGCCGCTGGTGCTGTTGCCGCTGCTCCCT